CTCTATCTCTAGATACATAATTAAGAAATGACCTTATATCTTGTGAACTATTAAAATTTTTAAGGATATAAGCTCATACCGATGTTACTGTTACGCTCATCAAGACCTTTCATTTGAGTACCTACATCAATTTTTCATATATTTATATATATTACATATATGTGTATATGAAAAATATATGAATATGCATGTGGGTACTCAAATGAAAGCTTTTGATGAATGTAACATCGGGATGAGCTTATATCGCTAAAAATGTCAATAATTAAGAAATGACCTAGTATCTAATCAACTAGTGACACTTTTAAAGATATAAGCTCATCCTGATGTTACACTCATCAAGAGCTTTCATTTGAGTACCCACATCAACTTTTCATATATTTATATATATCATATATATGTATATATGAAAAATATATCAAAATGCATGTGGGTACTCAAATGAAAGCTTTTGATGAGTGTAACATCGGGATGAGCTTATATCTTTAAAAACGTCAATTGTTAAGAATGTACAGTGCAATTTAACAAAGGTCATTATTTAATAAAGCAAAGAAAAATTTTTAATTTAAAAAAAAATATTAACAAGATTTTTATTTTTTAAAAAGTAAATCTTATTGCGCTCAAAGCGGTACAAATTTTATAACAATCAAATCTTAAAATTTTAATGGTAAAATTAAACTTTAATAATATAAAAGCGTAATATTTTATTGTTTTAATATTATATAAAAAATTTAGACCTAAAAAAATTAAAAATAATTTATTTTAAGTCCCAATTTTCGATAATAATTTTTTCAGATGGTCGAGAAGAAATAATTAGAATTTTATTAAGTACTTAGACTAGTGAAACTCAAAACTAGTTTCATTGACTTTTGACGCATATTTTGTTAAGTTAGCGAGCAATACCGGCAAGTTCAAAAAATTTATCACATTATTGACCAGATTATCAATTTCTGAACTGTTAAACTCAGTCTCATTGCTGTCTGATTCGTCGACGGTCAAATTGAAAAACAAAGTCGGTAAATTTGTGGCTTTAATTGCGTTCATAACCATATTTTCAATTTCTAAACTGCTTAAGTCAGTTTCATTGCTTTCTGATTCGTCGACGGTCAAATTACAAAAGGACGTCGGCAAGACTGTAACATTAACAAAATTGTTAAGCCAGTCGACAATTTTTGAATCGTTTAACATAGTTTCGTTGCTCATTAAGTCGGTGACATTCAAAGTTGTGACAAAAGTCGACAATTTTGTAGAATTGACTAACTTTTCAAAAAAGTCGAATTTTGAAGAATCAATTAAAGTTTCATTGTCTTCTAAATCATTAGCGATTGAAGTTACTGGGAAAACTGGAAATTTGACGGCATTCGTTACTGAAGAAATAAATTCTTCTACGTCTGTGTCATTGAAGGTGGGTTCAGTGAAGTTTGCTGCGTTTATTGCGAAATAAATTGCATCATAAGGAACATTTTCAAAAGTTTCTCCAGAGATTTCTTCCAATTTATTGTCGACCGAAGGCGAGCTTGAGTTGTAATAAACTCCAACCATCACTTCTCCATTTGGCAGCGGCACAGCGGAACTCTATTATAGTTTTAACATGTAATTAGTATTATTATTATCATAATCTAATTTTTTAAATAATTTTTAACTGTTCTTATTAAAAAATTTCTTCTTTTTTTTTTTTATTATCTATATTATTAAGAGAATACGAAAAGCTTTGTGTCCGAATAGTCATATGATAAAATCGGTTTTTTTAGTGGAATTTAGTGTCATTGCAAAGGTCGACTCGAATTTGTACCTTTTTAAGGTTTCATATCATTCTCACCGACAGTCAATTTATTCTGATAAGTATTGAGGCTGCATTTAAAAATTCTCTATTTTTAGATACATAATTAAGACTTAGTATCTTGTGAACAATTGACATTTTTAAAGATATAAGCTCATCCCGATGTTGCGCTCATCGAGACCTTTCATTTGAGTACCCACATCGATTTTTCATATATATATATATATATATATATGATATATATGATATATATGTATATATAAAAATATATCAAAAATGCATGTGGGTACTTAAATGAAAGCTCTTGATGAGTGTAACATCCGGATGAGCTTACATCTTTAAAAATATCAATGATTAAAAAATGACTTTGTATCTTGTGAACTATTGACATTTTTAAAGATTTAAGCTCACTCTGACATTACACTTATCGAGACCTTTCATTTGAGTACCCACATCATTTTTTCATATATTTATATATATGATATATATGTATATATGAAAAATATATTAATATGCATGTGGGTACTCAAATGAAAGCTTTTGATGAGTGTAACATCGGATTGAGCTTACATCTTTAAAAATGTTAATAGTTAAGAAAGTACAGTGCAATTTAACAAAAGTCATTATTTAATAAAGCAAAATTTTATTTATTTATAGATCACAAATCACGGCAGTCATATAGTGACTTCAAGGTTGCTAGTATTTTTTAAATAAATTTTGTAATACTTGATGAGTTTTTTTGGTTTTTTCTTTGTAATTTAAAGTTCTGAATTCTTAAATAAATATATATAAAATTTACCCGATGGAAAATAATAAAAAAAAAATAAATAAACTTACTTGCGAAGCGAAAGTTGCGATGGCAATTAAACACAACAAAAAATTCTTCATCATAAAAAATTTATTTTTCCTAATAAAAGCAAGAGTTTGTTCACAATCTCAATTTAAAATAACAATGAAAAATAAAAAAAATCCTCCGACTATATATAGACAAAAACTGGTTCTTATCATGAATCATTATTATCTCAGAAATTTCAAAATCGTCATACACACAAATTACATGTACGACAATTTTATTCCGACTGACCTAAAATA